CAATACAGTTTTGACTACCACCGGGTCCCCTGGAACTCCAGAAGTAGAATCTGGTATCGCTACACAAACGCTCTTCCCCCGCCCGGACCTCCAAGCAGGGTCCGAGATCGGGATAGGGATAGGGGTGGTCGGAGACACTCTTCCCCTTCCCCCCCCCCCCGCTGGGTCGCCCGCAAGCCTCGGCAATTACTAACAGCCACAGCCAGGCTGCGTTGTAGGCTGTGGAAGGCAGGGAGAGCTAAAATGGCCTCCAGATCTTGCGAGATCCAAGATGGCCATCGCAAAAGCTTGTGGGACCGTCGGGAACATTCTCCGCAGTCCCTGTACTCAGAAGAAACCAGGGGAGGCAGAAACAAAGCCTCCCGAGGTCCCTGAGCCGTAGATGCTACTAAGAGGCAGTTAAATAAAGGAACCCCAAAGGGAGGGCATATTGACACAATAATCTCATACCAACTGTCAAGCATGGTGGTGGATGGTTGATGATTTGGGCTTGTTTTGCAGTGATTGGTATACAAAGGAGTTCATGGTTGACTCAAAGTATTCTAGAGTCAAATATGAGGCCAACTGTCTAATAGCTAAACTTTGGTTGAAATTGGTTTATGCAATAGGACCATGATCCAAAGCACACCAGCAAATCTTGAATTTTGTAAATTGTTTAACAGAATGGCTGAAAAGGAAAATAATCAAGGTGTTGCAGCCAAAGTCTAGACTTCTACCGATTAAAATGCTCCTTCTCCTTTAGATTGACCAACTTCCTTGAATCCCTCTTCAGTCTGGATTCTACACTCATCACTCTGTTGAAGCAGCTCTGACCAATGATTTAATCACTGCAAAATCTTATGGTTACTACTCTATCCTTGTTCTCCTTGAACTTTTTGCTGCTTTTGACACTGTTGCTCATCAACAGCTTCTCCTTATCCTCCATAATCTCGGTCTATGAGATACTGCTCTCTCCTGATGCTCCTCTTATCTCTCCCAGCACTATTTCAGTGTTGCCTCCTCTCCCCAGCCCCTCTCTGGTGCTGTTCCCCAAGGATCTGTCATTGGTCCCAGTAAACTCATCAGCCCCTATGGCTTCCAATATTATATCTATGCAGGTGACATGCAAAAATATCTGTCCTTTCCTGATCTCCCACCGTTTGTCTTGACTTTTGTCTCAGACTGCCTCTCTGCTATTTCTAACTGGATGACTGCTCACTTCCTTGAATGTAACTTGCCCAAAACAGAACTTTTTTGTTGAAACAGGTCTTTCCACACTCAAGTGTTGCTAGTTGCTACTTTCCTCCACGTCAACAGCATTACTATCAGCTCTTGCTTGCAGCCTAGGTGTTTTCTTCAACTCCAGGTGTTCTCTTCACCCCTCTGTGACAGACCCATCCGTAAGAACTAAGATTGCTGTGTTCGTCTGTTTGCTTGTTTCACAAACTCACCCATTCGTATGCCTGAATTTAGGTGAATTTACTTTTTTACCGAACAGAACTACCGAACGGACGGCCACCCAGAAGAGAAGTGTGCTGCTGGTTAACCTATTGATCCCAATTAGAATGTTGCGGTTAACCACAGACACTTCTCAATTAAAACCTAATACAGTGTGGTCGTCGTTCGTATGTCGACCACAAGGAGGCGCCCATTTTAACTATGCGAAAACCCAGCGGTGTTCAGCTCTATTTTCATGGAACTAAAAACGGACACTTTTTAAACCGAACACCGTCGACCTCCCTTCTCCAATCGACAGAAGTGTGCGAACACCAGCCGTTCGGGAGGTTTAAATGCACGAATGGACTTAACCCAGATAGCCTTCCCATGGAGTCAATTGCATACCGAAGAACTGTAATAGACTTTGACTCCATGGTGATTGAACTATGCGTATGGGATCTGAGCGCTATTCGCCAATAATATGCTCTCATATCCAGGCTATCTGGGGATGTGTTACACGAATGAGAAACGTTCGGCAGTTATAAAGTTATATATTTTTATGTGTTTTGTGATTTGTATTTAAAATGGCGATTTGCCTCTGCTCTGGGAGATAATTGAGAAGTAATTCAATTATCTCCCAGAGCAGAGGGGAGGAAACTGTGATGTATGCTGGGAATATTGTGTGATTGTATGTCTGAAATGTCCCCATGTCCTTCTGTTATTCCAGTCTCCCATTTGGTCCCCTAGGGGAGTGTCCACCAAGTGGGAGACCTGCATAAATACGGGCAGGTAGCCCACAGTAAACTCAGTTAGTGTTTTACCCTCAAAGCGTAGCTTGGTCTCGTTATTGGGGGGATTTTATTACCGGCGACTAGAGACTGCTATTTGGAATTATTTGCCGCTTGGAAGATATTGGCGTTCGGCTGATATTGGCAGTTAGTGAGCTTGTGGCTCGTGAAGAGAAGGAGCCGTACGGGTACCGTTCAGGAGTTTGGAGTGTTCCCTGGCTGGCGGTTCGCATGGTTGTATTGCATACGCTTACAGACCACATTATTGCGAACGGGGAGCATTCACTAAACGGCGGTTTGTACATTTATTACTGGAGGTACCGTAACACCCTCATATCCAGTCAAATCTTGATTCCTTTCCTGCAACTGTCATCAAACAAATAAGAAAACAAAATACAAAACACCAAACCCTCAGTGAATACTATTCTAGCAAACAATTTTTCTACCGTAGCCCTGCCTTTTGTGTCACTATACCCCACTCCCTCTAGCATGTTATCTCATTTGAGCAGAGCCCCTATGTGTCTCCTCCTCCTTCCTATGTATCCAACTCGTCTGATTACAAATATGTGTCTGTTAGTCCACCAATTGTACAGTGCTGCAGAATTTGTTGGCTCTTTATAAATAATATTAATAATAACTAAATTGTGTTACATTGAAGCTCAGTGATAAACTTACACTTTGTATGTTATTGTGAGTTGTATTGCTGCGGGGCAGGAGCAAGGAGAAGTTCCTCCTTCAATTCTTGCACCACGTCCTGTATTTCCTAATTGCACTCTTTCATACTGCTTGACATATTGTGCTCAGTTTGTGAGATGACTATGCTGTTTTATTAATTTACTTCTTTTTTTTTTCACAGCAGACATCTTTGAGAGTTTCACAGATCATCCACCGTTGATCCTGCCTTGTGACAATTTCCACCTTCAACTCTCTAAGTCCATAAAAAATGATGCCTTTCACAAACTACTTTGTCAGCTACGATATTTTGTTTGGGATCTGGAGCAGAAATCTCTGCCTGCTAATCAGAGAACCTCATACAGAATGGAAAGCAATCCGTAGAAGAATTCCTTGAAAAATTAAACATCACAACAAATGCGAAAAGGATTGGTGAATGCTTTTACGTAACCGTAAAGGGACACTCCAGACCCCTACTGTGAATAATGTGTCATCCTAGTTTCATTTTACAAAAAGTTATTTCTGCAGAAATTACACTTTTAAAAATAAACATTGATCCCTCTGGCTGTCAATCAGTTCTCTTGCTTCCAGGTTGGTTAGCTCAGTGGAACTAAACTCAAAAGGCATGAAATTGCTCAGAACAAAAGCAAAAGTTTGTGATTGGACAACCACAGAAAGTCTGAGCTAAGTTAGAATGGAAGGGCTTGCAAAGGCTTCTGAAAAGAGATCTGTAACTTTTACTGACAGTTTTAAATATACCCCAATGGAAAAATGCATAATGAAATACATCTACTAAATTATGATTTTTATTTTTGTATTTAGGTAGTGTCCCTTTAAGCTTATATTATTTCCTGACATTATGTTTCTTGTCATACAACCCTTTTTTCCCCCGGTTTCCAAACAAAATCTTACTAGAAACTATAAAAATAGAAATGTTGCATACCATAAAAAGGGTTATCAACCTAAAATATCAAAAAAGGAAAGACAAAAAGGAACCCTAAAAACCAAGCAACCTTGGAAGGGAGAAGCAGGATGCAGGTAGCCATGCCTCCTAGCACTGATGTGTGGATACTAAGCCCCGCCCCCTCTCTTCATGTGGATAGGAGGCTGAGGCAGTAAGTGTTGAGGACAGGAGGGATGTGGTGTGCCACATCCCTCCTGTCCTCAACACTGTCCCCATTCTATCACTTGGGAATCAAGGTGGTGTGCCCTTATTGGACCATGTTTAATAATTATTTTCCTGCTGGTTGGCCAGTTTCACATTCACGTTATTTTGCGAGTCAACTTTATTAGGAGCAACTTGTAATGGACCGTTTTGCACACTAGGGGTAAAAACTGTTTAGGTGATCGGCCCCCTTTCCAGAGATACAGGCACAGCTACTGCAGAACATCAAACTCCCAAACTGGATACAAAATAGCACTCCAACTCCCGAACTGGAACCTCCCAAATAGCTGCTAGCAGACGAACAGGAAAAGCAGACAATCAGCTTACACTCCTGGCAATCAGTCTCTAACAGCATACAGTGAATCCCCCAAGAACGAGACAAGGCTCCGTGTTGAGGGTCAAGCAGTGGTCTGAGGTGCTGGCACACCCAGCCTGGTTTTTATTACAGTCTTGCAAATACAGGACCGCCCACAGGGAGGTATAAAACAACCAATCACATCACAGTTACATCCCACATATCCCCTCCCCTTATCCTGAGAGGAAACGCAATTACACATACAGTTAAAACATACTTTCTACCCAACTTCCATAACTCTAAAACCATACATCACATTCACATAAAATTACATATTCACAATCAATCCATTCAGGGGAACAACATATTCAAAAATGGCATGTATCAGACCAGGGGTTCAAAAGTTAGTAAAAAGTCCTTTGTGACTAAATGAAGCATGGCTTTCTGGCCCAAACCAGTTTCAGAGTCTTCTATCCTGGAGATAAGTAATTCAATTATCTCCCAGGACAGACACAAGACTCCATTAAGCACATGGTTGCAAAAAAGACACAAAACACTTTAAAATACATAAAGTCACATTTTACACATAACACACAGACATTTCACATATCCCCAGATAGCTCAGGTCTGAGCGCACATTATTAAGTGAATGGCGCTCGGAACACACAAATACAGTTTAATCGCCATGGAGCCAAAGTCTTTACAGTCAGTTTCATACGAATGGGCTCCATGGGATTCCTATCTGGGGTATAACACATTCAAACAAATCTACTGAACCCCAGGCAGAAAAGCACGAATGAAGCTTTTCTGCAGGCAAAAAATAAAGTCTTTTAAAAGGGGGCCATAGTCCAAAGGCAGCAGGCGAGCAACCAGGCTTCTCCAATGCAATGTGGCGAGATTGGTCTTGTCACACAACTTATGCTGCAATTCTTTCTGATGCCCATGGCGATGGTATGCTGACAAAATGAGCATCGGGCTCCTTTAGCTCACATTGTGTGTGTTTTTATTCACTATGAAAAGCACCTTTTTTCTTTTTGTTTCAATAGTTTTCCAGTTATCCACACAGGGTGCCAAGCTATCTAGGGACAGTTTGCTCAACTCGGATTCTTAATTTTTTGTTTTCTCCTTTCTCATTTTTATATTTTGTTTTTCACCTACTCTTTGGTCACTTTGATATAATCCCAATTTTTAGTCATATCTTTTTACATTATTGCCATTTATAGGGGTTTATCTGCTCCATGGTGAGTTGTAAAGTTGTAAGAATAATTTAACCTGTGCAAGAGCTTTTTGGTAATCTATTTCCACTATTTTTGAGGAGGTATAGATGGAGTTGCCAAATGTATTTCTATTATCTGCATTTCTGTTATTTTTCAATACAGATGCCATTCTATTTACTTGGTCCCTGCTCACTATCTTGTCATAATGGTGGCTTATAGTCTCCCAGGATCCTCCACTTCCCTTGGATATTTAGTGTATATAGCTATTGTTTAATTGCAAGTCTTGTCCCCCATTACCCTTCATTATTAATAAAGATTATATTTTTTCATTTGCTCTTTCCTGTTTCTCCCTTCCTGATTCTTGGTTTTCCAGGTTCCTTGTTGTCGTTCCTTTTTTTGAGTGATTAATTAGGGTTATCCCCTCCATTTGGGAGAACAGTTTCAATGCCGTTGCCCTACTGCCCTGATTTCTTTTTTGGGCGGTGGGCCAATGGCCTTAACTTTATTCTTTCCCTTTGTTGTTAATAAACCTAAAATATATGTTTTTATCTAACCTTCTGTATATGTATATCAGTAAATAATTATGGGACTCCGTTCAATGACACTGCTATACTACATTGTTATTCACTTCTTGTAATTTATAACTCAATGTATGAAAATATATCTTTAATGCCAAATAATATTGATATAAATATTTTGACAACATATTAGTGGCAATATGCTGTTTCTCTGTTCTGGCAGTTTACTCTGTTAAGTGTCAAGAGTGCTAGAATAAACATTATATCTCTCTTTTATCTGTCAACAGTTTTTGTATTTTATCGTTAAATATCACCATTATATAATTTTACATCTCTGCAGAAAATGTTGGCCCTATATAAATGCTATTAATAACAAAATAAAATACATTTAAAATACACTCTTCTTCCTATGTAGTGTGCATGTGTATATATGGTTACATAGTTACATAGTTACATAGTTACATAGCTGAAAAGAGACTTGCGTCCGTCAAGTTCAGCCTTCCTCAGAAATGTTGTTGCTGTTGATCCAAAAGAAGGCAAAAAACCTGGTCTGAAGCACTTCCAATTTTGCCACAAACTAGGAAAAAATTCCTTCTTGACCCCAAAATAGCAGCCAGATGTCTCCTTGGATCAATCAGCTATTACCCCACTAATTAGAAATTATATCCCTGTATGTTATGTTTTTGTAAGTATTTATCCAATTTCAGTTTAAACATCTGTATGGACTCTGACAAAACCACCTCTTCAGGCAGAGAATTCCATATCCTTATTGTTCTTACTGTAAAAAAACCTTTTCTTTGCCTTAGATGAAATCTCCTTTCTTCCAGCCTAAATGTGTGACCTCGTGTCCTATGTATAACCCTGTTTATGAATAGATTTCCAGATAAAGGTTTGTACTGGCCCCGAATATATTTGTATAAAGTTATCATATCCCCTCTCAGGCGCCGTTTTTCCAAACTAAACAGATTTAATTTTTTTAACCTTTCTTCATAACTAAAATGCTCCATTCCTTTTATCAATTTTGTAGCTCGTCTCTGGACCCTCTCCAGTGCCATGATATCCTTCTTTAGAACAGGCGCCCAAAATTGCACAGCATATTCAAGGTGTGGTCTTACCAGCGATTTATAAAGAGGCAAAATTATATTTTCATCCCGAGAATTTATGCCCCTATTTATACATGACAAAATCTTACTGGCCTTAGCAACTGCAGATTGACATTGCATATTGCTGCCTAATTTGTTGTCTATAACAATTCCCAAATCCTTCTCGTGTGTGGTTATCCCTAATTCACTACCATTTAGTGTGTAAGTTGCTTGTGCATTCTTAACCCCAAAGTGCATAACTTTGCATTTCTCTATGTTAAATTTCATCTGCCATTTTAGTGCCCAGTCCCCCAATCTATCCAAATCTCTCTGCAGCAAAGCAATATCCTGCTCACATTTTATTACTTTACAAAGTTTTGTGTCATCTGCAAACACTGATACATGGCTTTCAATGCCTATTTCAAGATCATTTATAAATATGTTAAATAGAAGTGGTCCCAAAACAGAACCCTGAGGGACACCACTTACCACTTTTGTCCAGCCTGAAAATTTACCATTAATTACAACTCGTTGTACTCTGTCCTTAAGCCAATGTTCTACCCAAGAACAGGAATATTCATCTAGACCAATTTCTTTTAGTTTGAAGACTAACCTATTGTGAGGAACCGTATCAAATGTCTTGGCAAAGTCCAAGTAGATCACATCCACTGCAACACCCTGATCTATACTTCTACTTACTTCTTCGTAGAATGCAATTAGGTTAGTTTGACATGACCTATGTTTCATAAAACCATGCTGATTATTGCTAATAACAAAGTTCTTCCCAATGAATTCCTGAATATTATCCCTTAAAAGCCCTTCAAATATTTTCCCAGTTACTGAAGTTAAGCTCACAGGTCTATAATTTCCAGGCACGGATTTTGAACCCTTTTTAAATATAGGAACAACATCTGCCTTCCTCCAATCCTCCGGTACAACACCTGAAACAAAAGAATCTTGAAAAATTAAATATAGAGGTTCACTTATTTCCCCACTTAGCTCCTTAAGTACTCGTGGGTGAATACAGTCAGGCCCTGGAGCTTTATTTACATTAATTTTCTTTAATAGCTGTAGCACCTTGTCTCGAGTTATCCAATCACAAGTTATTTGCAAGTTTTTTGCAGCAAACATTTGCATATCTCTTACCATAGGATCCTCATTAATATATACTGAAGAAAAATAGTTATTTAAAATTTCTGCTTTTTCCTGGTCTTCATTAGCTAATAAACCCAACTCTGTTTCAAGTGTACCTACACTTTCATTTTTTGTTTTTTTAAAATTGATGTACTTGAAAAAAATGTTGGGGTTGGTTTTGCATTCTTTAGCTATCAATTTCTCATTTTCTAGTTTAGCCACTTTAATTGCCTTTTTGCAAGTGTTATTGGCTTCCTTATATCTTAAATAGGATGCCTCTGATTTGTCTGATTTAAATGCTTTAAATGCCCTTTTCTTATTTTTAATCTTCTTGTTTTACTTCTCTACTAAGCCACATTGGTTTTAATTTGTTTCTTTTATATTTATTACCCAATGGTACATACTGAGAAATGTACCTTTCTAATATATGTTTGAATAGTTTCCATTTATCCTCAGTGTTTTTATCACTAAGGAGTTTATGCCAGTCGATATGTTGTAGAGCTGCCCTAATCTTATTGAAATTGGCTTTTTTTAAATTATATGTTTTAGTATACCCCACCTGCTTTTGCTTTTTTGAGTTTATTTCAAAATTTACCATATTGTGATCACTATTTCCCAAATGCTCCCCTACTTGAATGTTGGTTAAAATATCAACATTGTTTGTTATGACAAGATCCAGACAAGCATCCTGTCTAGTTGGTGCTTGTACCAGTTGTGACATAAAGGTGTCATTTAACACATTCAAAAACCTGGTTGCAGATCTATGTTTAACAATGCATTGACTATCCACTAACTTCAGGTGGTAGAGGTTTTTAATCACTTTTTTCCCCACCATAAGTTGGTTTGTGTACCGTGAGTAACACCAAGCCTCAATAGCAACCCAGTAACCAACCTCATGCTGATGAGTTGCATTAACAACAAATTTTATATGTGATCTGTATTCAGTTCAATGGTTTTATTTATTTTTTGTCAATCAAATTTTTATTGAGCAGTAATGATGTAGAACATAGCAAAAGTCCTTGTACTGTGGTCAACAAGTAGGAAAACTTGGGGGGGCGTGGCCTAGACACCGACCAAGATGGCAGCTTAATCCCTGGGCTCCACCACACCAAGCCCCAGAACGCGATCCCCAATAAGCTGCAGTGCACCAATGGGTCGCAATCGCCGCACGGAACACTCCCAGAACACAAGGGACCTGCAACCGCGTCCACAACAGGGCACCATGGACGGTTTCCTGCACCCACCGCGTGGGAATGATGGCGGGCCTGATAGCCCGAACCCAGCCCCACGATCACCTGTATCGACGGCGGGCGATGACCCCGTGACCCTGGAACGGATCAGCGACGAGCTGAGGACAATGGCGGCGGCCATGGCCACTAAAGCTGACCTGCTGACCCTCACTACTACCATTCAAGACGCCCTGCGGGCGGAGATGGTGGAAATCCGGGCGGAGGTGAGCACACACACAAACCGCATAAAGGCTCTAGAGGCCACCAATGAGGCCCAAAAAACAAGAATAGTGGCATCTGACACTGCCATAGCCAGACAGGGGGATCTGCTCTTGCATATGCGCAGACACTTAGAAGACCTTGATTATAGAGGCTGAAGATGCAACATACGAATCAGGGGAATCCCTGAAGCTGAGGGAGGTGAAAACATAGAAGAGCTTCTCACAAACCTATTCAAGCTTATACTGCAGGCAAACGCTCCTCAGAGCTTTGAATTCAAGCCTGAGACCACGCCCGGTCGAAGAAGGACCCAGGGATACGATATGCTGCCTTCATTCATTCCCTATTAAAGATGCCATCATGAAAAAAGCTAGAGAGCAACCCACATGGCTATTCCAGGGAGCCCAAGTATCGCTCTTTAATGACCTATCCCCATACACACTTGACACCAGGCGGGCACTTAGACCGGTGACGGCGGCGCTCCGCGACCATAACATCACTTACAAGTGGAGATATCCATTTGTGATACTGGCACACCGTCAGGACACTTGGATAGCTGCCAGATGGCCCGAAGAGGTGCCACGCTTTCTTGAAGAGCTGAACTTGCCTCCCATCCCAGTCACCAACCTGGGCCAGTCGGGACCGGCACCACGACCACAACAAGCGCCCTGCAGACGTGGAGGCGGCTCCCCACCGGGACGGCCACTCCAAAGGCGAAGACGGGGACCTGGGAACCCTGCGGAGTAAGTACCTCAATACCCACAAAAACTAGGCCCCCCTTACCCCACCTGACCTAGATTATGATTCTCCTGGACAGCACACGGGCCCACAAACATACGGTCTCAACCGTGACAAATAAGGGGCATATGACGAGACTCTCTTGGGAAGTGCCGGCATGGGGATGACTTGGGGATCAAAGGAACCTCATATACCATATTATACGACAGGGAACTAACTGTGCCACCCTACTAAAACCAGACCTAGAGAGAACCCACCTTATGAGCCATGTGAATTGGGGGGTCCCTTGAGTAAATGCCTGGATACTAGGACTTTGGGCGGGGGTACTGGGGAGGAACAGCCCATGCATGATCGTACTCAGGAGAGAAACAGCGGACGAGTTACTCGGGGACGGGGGAATACCGATCCACTTCACAGTGCCCCCATCGACCTGCACATTCCTATCGAGACAATGGGGACAGCAAATGCTTGCATGGGGCCTGTGGCCCAACGAGATGTAGAGCCTGGACACACCCTCGTACCCACCCACCCTTTGAACAGGTTATAGGGTGTAAGGAGGAACCCCCCCCCCCCAGCAGTTCTAGCGAAATTAATCTCTTAATAATGCCATACATTGCGATTGGTGTTGAGTATGCAATGCAGTAACAGTGTGGTCAATGTCGTTAAAATGCAGGGTAATCAGAAAAGGTGGGGATACAGGTGATGGGAGGCAGATGCATTGGGAATTGCCTATCAGCGATTCCTGGGGGGACTGGCCAATGATGGGACTCCATTAGGGAAAGAGAAATACCGTAGCAAAGGGCTCCACAGAAGCCACGGGTTGGGGGGAAGTGCAAGGGTGAAATAGCCACACAGGGAGGATGGGTAGTTCCTGCATAGTTTATATATAGGATAGCACCTGGGACGAACCAATTCTCACCTAGTTGACATGAAACCCCCGGGGGTAACTATCCCCACGCTACCCCACATGCC